CCCAACATCCACGGATTTCATACGTCCTACAAAGAATTTAAAGTGGCCGCATTTGCGGACGATTTGCTATTTTTCTTGACGCAGCCGAGAATATCACTCCCCAACCTACTGAACGCACTTCAGGAATTCGCATCAATCTCGTTCTTTAAAATCAATCTATCGAAATCAGCCGCATTGAATGTATCCCTTCCAGATGATCTGGTCCACTTCTGCAAATTACATTTTCCCTTCCGCTGGGCAGATACTTCCATTACCTATCTGGGCATCGAACTTCCCACTGACTTAAAGAAGCTATACTCCCTTAATTTTGCCACTCAATTATCCCGATTACGGATGGATATGAGAGAATGGAACAAGGGGTTATACTCCTGGTTTGGTCGTGCGGCAGTCCTTAAAATGACCGCCATGCCACGATTGCTGTACATGTTCCAGACTGTGCCCATTGCTCTTCCCAAAGCCTTCTTCTCCTCGGTCAACGCTCTTTTTCGCACTTTTCTATGGGAAGGTAGATCACCACGAATCGGATTCTCAACTTTAACCCGTTCGAAATCCTCCGGGGGTATAGGGCTCCCTCATGTACAGAATTACTATCGGGCCTGCCATCTCACACGTATCATAGACTGGGCTAGGCATGGCCAATATAAAGAATGGGTCCAGATTGTGCAGCTCCAATCGGGATCACCAATTGGCTCTTGGCCCTGGCTTCAGCGCTCCACACTCCCGACCCAAGTGCTAACTCACCCTACGATAGGCAACTCTTTACGCCTCTTTGACACCATGTGCAGGACCGCAGACGTTTCATTGACCCTTGGGCCTCTTAGCCCGGTCCGTATGAACCCCGCTTTCCCCCCAGGCCGCCACTCCTCATTCCTGCACCCTTGGTGCCCAGAAGCCAACCCGACCGTGAAAATGTTCTTTGACGGCCAAGGGGAGTTTCGGTCGTTGGCCGACTTAAATTCTGACACTTCCAACGGATCTCTACCATTATGGACGTATATGCAACTTCGCCATTTCCTCAACAACAGACACACTAAGCAACATTTCACACGCCCCCTTACCGCCCTTGAGCGGCTCTGCACGTCCCCGGGCAGGGCTACTCCTACTGTGTTGGAGACTTATTCCTTACTGTCGAACTCCTCCGCAATGCCACACACACCCTCTACTAAGGCATGGACAAAAGATGTATCTACCGACTTCACCACACAAAGAGTGGGAGAGGATGGACGTACTCTTGCTGAAAGGCTCCTTGAATGTACAGATCCAGGAAACTAATTACAAGCTGAGGTCCAGGTGGTACAAAACTCCCGAGCTACTACATCGCATCTTCCCCAACACACCTAACACCTGCTGGCGATGCTCGCAAGATGTTGGTACGATCCTCCACATTTGGTGGTCATGCCCCCTCATCTCACCCTTCTGGTCAGACATACACTCGCTCATAAGGAATATAACAGGTGTCACACTAGAATTCACGGTAGGTTCTCTCCTCCTGTTCCACTTTAACTCCCCACACCATATTACCAAACATTCCCTGGTAATACACCTACTGAATGCAGCCAAAACCGTGATCCCCAGACACTGGAAGTCGACACATCCACCGACAATCAGGGAATGGCTAGCACGGGTTGACACTGTGGCAAACATGGAAGAACTAATCGCTTACGATAGAGACACTACACCTCAATATCTGAAAACTTGGGACAGCCTGGCATCTGTTCAAGGGCACGGACTCTTATGTTACCCTCATTCAGTAAAAACCCGACTCTTTCAACCCAGAGGATCTATTCCCTTTCCCTACCCATTCTTACTGCCCCCTAAACCTCTACCTACCTCTAACACACATTTTTACTGCCTCAGGGTCGATGGGAGGTGGGCGGGAATGGATGTAAGAAGGTCTGTCTCTTGTCTCTTTCCCCTCCTCTTCTCCACTGTAGCCTAGCCCTCCAGGTCCCTTCCTCTCCTCTCCCGACCCCCTTCCTCTCTGATCCCCCCTTCTAGCCCAATCCCCCACTAACCTCGAATTGGATCACCCTGTTGAGTCTATCACCAGATTGAATCTCCTTCATACCATACACTCTGATATCAATGCAAAGCATTAGACCTAAAGCTAGAATTTCGGCCCAGTCTATAGCCAAGGTCCCCTGTAGCATAGAGCCCACTCATTCTTAGGAATGACTACACCACTTTTTAGCAACGTTCGGGCATACCAATATGGGGTACCCCACCACTGCCTCCCAAGAATGGGAGCGAAGGCTGGTCGTCAAAGCAAAGAGCTCAGATTACTCTTTCCTCGGACTCAAGAGGGGCTTGTCCCCTGGACCTTCCCCCCTCGCTTCCTCTTCTTATGCAGAATTTACTTCATGTTAGATACTTTATTTGTGCATACTTGCTTGTACCATGACTGTTTTGATATTTCTTATCACAATAAAAATTTACTTGTGAAATAAAACAGTGATTACAAATACAAAAAAAAAAAAAAATTAAAATTTGATTAGTCTGGCATGATCTGCCCTCAGTGAAGCTATGCTGCTTTTTGTCCTTTTCAAATAGTATTTTTTTTAGGTCTTTTTTGTATATCAGACCAAAACGTGGGACAACTGAGGAAAAATGAGGGACAATCCCTCTAAATCAGGGACAGTTGAGGGCTACGTTTCCTCTGTGCGCCTGCTTTCATGAACCTCAAGTTTCCCCTTTTCGCTGACACAGATGTAAGCCCACACAAGCTGACTGTCTACGTTGCAAGACCACAGCCCAGCCTTCCCCACATGTATCCTGAGCTCCGCTGGCCCTCCTGCAGGCCCAGGACAGCTACGTCTAGTGTTGTGGGCAAGATGAGAGGGAGACCAGCGAATGTCTGCATCAATCTCCTCTCCTGTGAATGAACCCAAAAGTGACGATGAATTTGGGGAATGACGAGCTGTGCCTGGTCAGCTTCAATGGTGAAAAAAGGTGACATTAGGGGGTCTAATAGACCCCTAATGTCAGCTTAAAGAGAACCTGGCAACTATAATGTGCTGTCACATAGGGGGCTATTAGCTTATTCGCCCCCTCTCTCCACCACAGCTCTGGCTGTTATGATGTCACGGGTCCTTAGACTGCTGGACCCCAGGGTAGAAGAGGCTGCAGGGACCAGTCTAGCAGCCAGGTGGGACAGAGGATCGGCTGGAACCTGGTTGGTTGTTGTTGTTTTCCGAATATCCTTTTATTGTAACATTATCAGTCCTTTATTCTACAATTGCAGTGATTTATAATGTGTTTTTTTTTTTTCAACAGTGATAAAATAGCCAGAAAGCTGTATTATTCCCACCTGAAAGAACAAGTCTTGAGATCCCACTGCTCTCACAAAGAGGAGATTTATTTTTTGCTGGCAGCATATGCACTCCAAGCAGATTGTGGAAACCAAAGAACTCCCATGAAAAATTACTTTGAACCTGAGGCCTACTTTCCACACTGGGTATGAACATTTCTCTCAAGGCTGAGAGTCCTGCAAGGAACAGCCTGCTATGATCTTTTAGCTTACTTTTACACCAGATCTTTCACGTTTTAATTTAATTTGGTTAAGTAGCTTTTGCAGGCATTTGCCAGAATCTTCTCTTAAAGGACAACTATGGGGTTAAGGCTTTTCCACATAGTTCTCCTTAGGGTAACGTGAGGACACAAACTAGCGTCCTCCCGTCACCCTAAGCTCAGTATACCGCGAGCTGCAGCTCGCGGTATTCTGAGACGCCGCAGTATACCGCGAGCTACTCCTCGTGGTATACTGAGACGCCGCATCTGAAGCAGATCCTGACAATTATGACAGCTGGCGAATCCAGCCCCTCCCCTGTCACGGCAGAGAGCTGTGACAGGATTGAGAGGTGAGCGAACGCTGGTATGTGTTCGCTCACCTCCCGATCTACTGAGCCGACCTGTGACAGTCTCATTGTCACAGGTTGGCTAGAACTGAGGTGAGTGAAGCACTCACCTCATAGTTCTCCTTTAATGGGAAAAGGTGCTTATGGTAGTATTCACTTAATTTTTGATATTGTGAAGTTGATCTCTCTTATTTTTCTCATTTGCCAGACTAAAGTGGTCTATATGTATTTAAGAGCGCTGCGTTCCTGTCCTATGATTTTCTTGCAGATGTTATGCTGCTCATTAGTGTGGGTGGCTCATTGGCAGATCAGAAATGGCTTATTATTGGTCAGCAACATACTACAGTACAAATATCAGGGACTTCAATTGTGGATGCCTCTAACCAGCCTCTTATTGTCGCCTATGTCGTTTATTAGGCAGATGGGTTTGTATTTTAAACACATGTTTTCACTTGCTCCCCAATAGATCAAGCACAAAATTGTTATTTGGTCAGAACTTAACAGTCTGTAGTTTTTCTTATTGTGGGTGAAATTAGTGAGGAGGTGTCTAAAAGAGAGTGGCAATTCTTTATTAGGCTCAGACAGTTTTGTCAGAGCTTTTTTTCAGAGCTTGTGCTTTCCTCTGGATATGTGATCTGATGATGATGTAGTTTGGAGGTACCGGATGTCTTTTCCATCCAGGAACTTTTTTTGTTCTTGTCAATGAGGATCTGTAGCCACAGCCACACGTAGGAATCGGGCTTCACATGTGTTTTGCAAGCTGCATGCACAAAGTTTTGTACTTTGCAGGGGTGCCGCAATACCACATTCCAGAGTTTCACTGCAGACTTTCTTTGCACAAGTCAAGGTATTGGATGCAATTTTCAAATATTGTTTATTTCTAGGGAAACTGGTGACAGTATTTTTACCTAAGTGCAATAAATGTTGCTCCTATTACACTTGCACATCTTTGCTGAAGGGAAGAAAGCATGAACTTTATGTGGCTGAGGGGTAGGGACTGTCCTTGATAGGCCGACCTCGCGGTCTTCCTTCCACTTGATAGAAATGGAGCCGCATCT